TGCAGATCACAACTTGATGAAGCCAACAGGACCACATCATCTGCAAAAAGCAGAGACGCAATCCTAAGGCCACCAAAACGGATCCCCTCAACACCTTGGCTGCGCCTAGAAATTCTGTCCATGAAGGTAGTGAACAGAATCGGTGACAAAGGGCAGCCCTGGCGGAGTCCAACTCTCACTGGAAACGAGCCCGACTTACTGCCGGCAATGCGGACCAGACTCTGCCACCGGTCATACAGGGACCTGACAGCCCGTATCAAAGGGCCCGGCACCCCGTACTCCCGGAGAACCCCCCACAGGGCCCCCCGAGGGACACGGTCGAACGCCTTCTCCAAGTCCACAAAGCACATGTAGACTGGTTGGGCGAACTCCCATGCACCCTCCAGGACCCTGCTGAGGGTGTAGAGCTGGTCCAGCGTTCCACGACCAGGACGGAAACCACACTGCTCTTCCTGAATCCGAGGTTCGACTATCCGACGGACCCTCCTCTCCAGCACCCCCGAATAGACCTTGCCGGGGAGGCTTAAGAGTGTGACTCCCCTGTAATTTGAGCACACCCTCCGGTCCCCCTTTTTGAATAGGGGGACCACCACCCCAGTCTGCCAATCCAGGGGGACTGCCCCCGATGTCCATGCAATGTTGAAGAGTCGTGTCAGCCAACACAACCCCACAACATCCAGGACCTTGAGGAACTCCGGGCGGATCTCATCCACCTCCGGGGCCCTGCCACCGAGGAGCTTTTTAACCACCTCGGCGACCTCGCCCACAGAGATTGGAGAGCCCAGACCAGAGTCCCCAGGCCCAGCTTCCTCAATGGAAGACATGTTGGTGGCATTGAGGAGGTCTTCGAAGTATTCCGCCCACCGACCCACAACGTCCCGAGTCGAGGTCAGCAGCACACCATCCCCACTATAAACAGTGTTGGTGCTGCACCGCTTCTCCCTCCTGAGACGCCGGATGGCGGACCAGAATCGCTTCGGAGCCGTGCGGAAGTCTTTCTCCATGGCCTCTCCAAACTCCTCCCACACCCGAGTTTTTGCCTCAGCAACCATCCGAGCCGCATGCCGCTTCGCCCGCCGGTACCCATCAGCTGATTCCGGAGTCCCACAGGCCAAAAAGGCCCGATAGGCCTCCTTCTTCAACCTGACAGCATCCCTCACTGGAGGTGTCCACCAACGGGTTCGAGGGTTGCCGCCACGACAGGCACCGACAACCTTGCGGCCGCAGCTCAGATAGCCGCCTCGACAATGGAGGAACGGAACATGGTCCACTCGGACTCAATGTCCCCCACCTCCCCCGGGATGTGTTCGAAGTTCTGCCGGAGATGGGAGTTAAAGCTCCGCCTAACAGGGGACTCCGCCAGACGTTCCCAGCAGACCCTCACAACACGTTTGGGCCTGCCAGGTCTGACCGGCATCCTCCCCCACCACCGGAGCCAACTCACCACCAGGTAGTGGTCAGTGGAAAGCTCAGCACCTCTCTTCACCCGAGTGTCCAAGACATACGGCCGCAAGTCCGATGAAACGATGACAAAGTCGATCATCGAACTGCGGCCTAGGGTGTCCTGGTGCCATGTGCACATATGGACACCCTTATGCTTGAACATGGTGTTCGTTATGGACAATCCATGACGAGCACAGAAGTCCAACAACAGAACACCACTCGAGTTCAGATCAGGGCGGCCATTCCTCCCAACCATGCCCCTCCAGGTCTCACTGTCATATATATATATATATATCTATATATATATATATATATATATATATATATATATATATATATATATATATATATATATATATATATATTGTATATTGTAAACTAACATTAATTCCAAATTGGAATGTTTTTAATCACTTTGACAGAAAAAGCAGACTTCAAATAATCTAGTGATTTTTTTAAAATGTCCATTTTAGTATATTTTGTAAATTTTAAAGCAGTGGGCAAACTGTAAAATAAAAAAAATAAAACTCCGGATTTGTTATGGTTCTCCCCTGTTGTACTTGCTTTTTAGTGTCTTTTTGTGTTTTCAGTTATTAATGTCATTCTGTTTTGTTGGTCATTGGTTTCTTTTCCATTTTGTGTTATATTTAAGCAGTGTTGCATTTTCTCAGTTACTCTCTGTTGTACCCTTATCCCAGTCTCCTTTCCCTTAGCTGCCTTCTAGTTGTTTCTATCCACACCTGCTCCATATTAGCTGATTAGTCTACTATTTGTTCTGTCCGACATATATACACTTCTTTGCAGTTCCTCATTGTTGGATTATTGTTGTTTCTTTGCTCCTCATGTGTGTTTTCCCTGATGTCTCATGGTTTTTGGTTTTCTGTTTTTTCTTTTTGGACTTTGCTTCTGTTGCCTTTGGGTCTTCATTAAATCAGCAAAAACTCATCTCTGCCTCCTTCTACTCTGCGTTTGGACCACAGCCACATCCACCTTTAGTTGACAGGCTTACAACGGAACACAAGGTCAAAATGAGTATAAGCATATTAGTATACATTGTTTGGAAAGATTTTATAATAATTGTACAGTTTAACAGCTCTGACGTATACATTGCTATAAAAATATAGTTAAAGCTACAATGTGTAATAATTACAGGGATATACAGTCAGAAATGTAATATATTATACATAACTATGTTATTTATCATCATCTACGAGCTCAGCCTCTTAACCTTAATATTTGCGTTGCCTTAGAATTCGTTATTTATAATTACATAGGAGCGGGTCTCGCAGCCATGGAGGCAGACATCTTTGCGCTACGGCAGCGCAGAGCCAACAAACTAGCGATTGCGAGATCGCCAAAACGTCACAACGATGTAGAAAAAATAACGGGTATATTCATTATCTTAAGTCTACATGAAATCTATACCCAACACAGACAAATGAAATACTATCTGTAAAATTATCTATGTAAACAAACCTCATCACTTGAGAAGGTAGGTGATGCGGACGTCGTGGAAGACATTTTGTCCCGTAACGCTCGCCGCACTGTTGGGGGGGAGAAGCGGTGGGGGGGAGATGTTCATGTTGCTGCAGTCTGCAGTGTGACCGCTAGATGTCGCTAAAAGTTACACACTGTAGCTTTAAGGTCCACTAATGTTATTGCTGAGGTTGGCTACATTTGACTACAGAACAGATTTTGGAAGATGCTAAATCTGGCAGTACTGCTGGTTTTACAGCTACTAATGCACAAAATTGAAAATTAAAAGTCGAAAAGTAATTGCAAGAAATCTATTTTCCTAAAGAGCAACTCAAGTAAGCAAATAATCCCGCTTGATGTAAATTAAAAAGTACAGAAACTACTGGCTGGCTTAAATATCCATAATTTAAAGAATTTCCCAAAAAAAATGACATGTGACTGAATGAATGATGCACCTTTTGATTTTTTATTTGATTTTTTTTTTTTATGGAAAGTTAGAGATCAGGAAACAAACAGGCTAAAATAGGCTAGTAATTATTTAACATGTACCGATAACCTAGTTGCTATTAGAGACTCGGACTTTAAATACAGCCACAAAACACTTCTGGCTGTATCAGTTTAAAACTGCCTTCAAAAAACAGATTTGAGGGTTTTCTGTCAGGATGCAGAAGAAAAGTGCATGTATTTTCAGTTATCATAACTAGGTCTTAGTGTGGTTTAAAAAATACTCAAGCAGTTACAGTTTTCCCAAAGACCTGGCCCAAACTTGGAAGCACTAAGCAAGTTAGGTGGATCAAGAGTTTACTCCTCGGGTAAAAAACATCAAGACCCCTAAGGCAAACAAGATGAGTCGGATTATACATTTTATATTCTATCTGTATTTTGCCTTCTATTTATCTTTGGCATTAATGTACTGAAAACCTGAAATTAGATTAAATTCCTTTCAAAAATACTTTATTGATCTCAGGGGGAGGTTAAATGTTGCAGTAACATAGGACTTTCATGTGCAGAAACTGTTGAATTCTTCAGACAAGGACTAAAAATATAAAAACATATTAAATGTAAAGGTAAAAGCCAGAACATTACTTAACTGTCATCATTAATGTGCCATTTGCTTGTTTTGAGTTTGCCTTCCACATCTTGGTTCTTTTAATGTAAAACCTTGCTTTTATGTTTTTTATTGGGCTTTGTTGGGCTATTCTATAAAAGCCTGGAACTCAACACTAATCCAAACATTTTGATTAGAGAAAGCTTCCTGGATGGGAAGCGAAACGTCATCAAACTTGGAAAAAAAAGTCCAGTGGTTTGTTTTTTTAACTTTAACTTTTTGGAATGACTATGAACTGGATGACTGAACATCTCCACCAGCTAAATTTTTTTGGCTTAATAGATTTTTTAAATGTATTTTACTGTAAAATATATTTTATTACCCTGTGCATCATCTTTCCTGTATAAAACTCTTGCCTTGGCAATCTTCACATCTGAAGAAAATAATCTCTTTGGCCAAAGGGGCAAATGTGTGGAAAATGGGATTATAGGGCATCACCTACCCAGAAAGCCAGCCAAGCTTTTCAAAAGGAGGCGTGGCAAACCCTTTGCAAGCTGACAACCACAATAGCTAGTAGAAGCCCAGTGGGCAATGCCGGTGCTGCAGTGCTAGACCTCTTTTGTGCTTATTTAATAACTATATAATTGAGTTAACTCCCATGCCAATTATCACAGAGCTCTGCTAATTGCCCTATGGCTTAAGTCAAAATGAGATTGGCCATATTTTAAATTAGTACCTTTGCCAGCTACAGTACCATTGCACATGAGGGTATTCACACTAATAAAGATTTTTTTTGGCACTTTGATGTATCAACTGTTCAGATAAACACTTGAGCTTTAATTGGCTCATAGTGAAGTTAATTCTGTGAGCTCTGCCATTTATCCTGCTTCTATGTCATTGCTATTAAATCATTCATCTCACAGAAGAGTAAAACCTTTTGAGCTGACTGTGCATTTTCAGAATTGAATAAAAAGAAGGAGAATGCAGAACCAACTTCAGCACAGTTAGATAGAGACAGATATGTAAGGTATACCGAGCATTTGTTGGGCTTCTCCCCGGAGTGGACCCTCATGTGGATAAGAAGCTTGTATCTGGCGTTGAATGGCTTTAAGTTTCTTGGGCAGCCAACCCAATAGCAAGTGAAGTCATCTGCCTTTTGCTGGTCCACATGGAGCTTCTCTATGTGCCTTACCAGCTCCTCCTTTTGGTCATAAATGGCAGTGCAATCCATCCACCTGCAGAAGTGGGTACCACAGTCCTCTACCTCCCCGTCCTCCTCCTCAAGCATGGGAATCTTGGGTAAAAAGCCGACTCCATTCCTGTGTGGAAACATGGGAGCTTGTGTGGCAGCACTCTGAGATTGGGCTTTCATTTTGCAGTGATGTCGGGAAGGGTTTATGTGATGGTGAGAGTAGTAAGGTGGTGGAGGCCCATGTGGAGCAGAAGCTTCTTGGGTTCTCATCAAAGTTGCTGACTCTGACTGTACAAGTGGTAGGATTCTGTGGGATGTTTGGCTGCAACAGTCGGAGGTTTTCTCCAGAAGCCCCTCTTTTTCTGAAAGGTACTGTGGCCCAACCATCATGTTGGCCATCTGGTTCTCCAGACTCCCACCCTCTTCGAGCCCCTGCATGTGGCCACACTCTGATAGTGGGGAGAGTCCTTGTACAGAGCTAAGCATGCTGCATGGATGTTTGGGAGGTATGCAGCGACCTTTCACCCCTAGGAAATGACCATATCCATCAGACTGAACAGGAGAGAGTGTGGAATGGGATGAACCGTTGATATAAGCCACAAGGGACGTAGGTGAGGTGCGAATAATGCTATTAAAATCAACGCCGAAGACATCTGATAATGGTGATGTGGAGAGCGCTCTCTTCTTGGCATGAGATTGTCTGGGGCTTCCGGCCTCAGCTGCAAAAAGATATGAGGGCAAGGAGGCAGAGGTGCTTGTTTCCCCTGATGTGGTCGTGCCCGACATGGCGGTACCAGGGGGGAGGCTGAACTGTTCACCCCCCTCACCGGCTTGGGCAGAGCTCTGAGATAGTCCCACCGGGGGAAGCACACGGTAACCATATGGCCAATCTTGTTTGCCACTAAACACAGATTGGGTTTCAAACAGGCTGAGGGTGGTGGATGCCAGGGATTCTCTGGACGGTAAGGACCTAAAAAAACAACATTATTTGCTTCACAAACACTCTGATATCTTGACTTCCACATCAATAATATAACACTACGAGAGTTTTCTCACCTGGCATCAGTATGAGAAACGGGCATACTGTGACATGATGGTGGACAAGGCCTTGCAGGAAACATTGGTCCTGAGAAAACACTTGTAGGACTGCTGGTCACTATAGTGCATCCAGACACTGCAAAGTCAGCTGGAGAGAAGTGGGAACATTAAATATTTTCATGGAGTATAAAAGTTAAAGTAGAGCATGCAGGTTAAAGTTATCTATGCCATTAACATAAAGTCACACCCACCTCTGTCAAATAGCCAGATCGTATGTGGTAAAAATTGACCATAAGAAATAAATGTTACATTAATAGTGATAAGCAAACAGACCTGTGTTAGATCAGATTAGTATGCAGACCCTCAAGTTCTTTTTTTGGTCAATTTCAGCACTTATTCTTTTTTGGATAAAATCCTCCATCTAAATTGTTTTGACTATAACAAAAAAAGGAAATTGTATCTATGATTTTAGAGAAACATGGAGGTGGCAGCATCAAAGTTTGAGGTTACATTTCTTTAATTGAAACAGAGATTCCAAATATTAGTCAGTTTTAACTGAAAACCATTGATTGTTTGCTTGAGAACTGAAGGTCAGGAGTGGCTTTATAGTTTAGCATCACACAAATAAACCCAAATGAATAAAACAGGGGCTTTACCAGAAGATAATCAGCATTCAGAATGAAAAAGCTAAATTCCAGAATTAAATTTGTAAGAAAATATGTGGAGTCTTCTGAAAAGGGCTGTGGGCACAACATAATTTATACTCTAAAATGGGCAAAACAATGACTGCTGATGGACTACTAACACACAGAATACATAAATTGAACAACTAAAGGGCTGTGAAAGAATTTAAAAGGAGTCTACACCTATAATTGCAGCTAATTCAGCCTTAGTTTTTTCCTCCACATCAGATCTTTTTGGGTGGCTTAAATGAATTGTATTGGATACGTACAAAATTAACAAGTGAAAAGTTTAAAAAATAAAATCAAAATCTTATTCTTTTAAACCACTACTATACCTGGCATTCTAACAAATAAGTGATCACCTTTGGGAGCAGCTCTTGATTTCTGTTTCTAAGGAGCGAGATTGTGGAATTTTCCTCACACAGCACAAATAAGACACGGAAGACTCTGCTCTGTTAATCACTAATAGCTTTTCACCTTCTCCTGCTGTCCTGCAGGACATTTATTTTCATTCTTTGCGCATGACAGATTATCAATAAATAAGATAATGAGGCCATAACGAGTTTAGGAGATCCACAAAGGAAAGGAACCTGCATCAAAAGCTATTTTGGATTCTTCTTTTAGTCAAACTACAACAGTATACACCTTGTTAAAGGCTGTGATGAGTTCTTGCTTTTCTCCGTTCTTCTAAACATCTTAGTGCTTTGCAAAAGTATTCATACCGTTTCAGCCTATCCACATTTTTTCAAGTTAAAGGTACAAATTTGGAAATAGTTTTTGAGGGATTCTCTGTTATAGACCAACACATTGATGCATAATGGTGACGAACATTATAAATTAAGCATATATACTGTTTCTCCAATAGGGTCACAGGGAGCTGGTGCCTGTCTCCAGCAATCTTTGAGCAAAAGATGGGGTTTACAGTACCTCAGACTGTTGGAGAAAGCAAGAGAACCTGGGGAGAACCTGTGCATTCATGTTTTTTTTTTTGTTGTTGTGACATTAAAGGTGTACAGAGTTAAAGAAGATATAAAAAACAGGCTATTATGATGGAAAACTCACAATAAAAGTATGTTGCAGTTTTTGGTTTTAGCACGAGAACATTTGAAAAAGCTTAAATACTTTTGAAAAGCAATGCTCTGGAAAATAAAGCTGCACTGATATTTTAGTCACATAAATATTTCAATATTGATATATTCCCACCATTTGTTAAGCTAGATTTTACCTTTGATGTTGTAGTTAGAGGGGTTTGGGAGTTTTGCATTCTTGACTATTGCTGTGGTTGTGTTTTGAAGTGTAAACGGGTCCATTTGCTGTGAGTTTCCGTCTGGAACGGTTAGATCTCTCCCATTGGTCAAAACCTTTCTGCGGAGGCTCAGGCTAGGCAGGATGACATGGCCTTCATTTTGTTTCCCAGGATTTACAGAAGGAATGCTTTTTCTTTTTGGGTTCTCTGTTCTTCCTCTAGATGACCCAAATCGGTTTTGTTGAGGGGAAGAGGACCCAGGTATCCCAATGGTCTGAGACGGGTGCCCTCTGATCGCATTTAATGATGGAGAGACACTGCAAGGAGACACAAGGAGCTGGCAGCCTTTTCCACTCATGGCTGAGGTCAATTCAGCACAGCGGCTATGATCATGAAGAGACTTATTCCAGCAGCCAGGTTTTCTATGTAAAATGAGTGTCCAAAGATCATGCCTAGAGATAAATAAAATAAATTACATATACCATATACTGCAACAAATCACTCAAGACAGGATGGATAAATCAAAGTCAACATTAGTTGTGTAAAATATTCACATTCCCAATTACAAACATAATAAAACTATCTAAAATGAACAATCTACACAATTTAACACACTACAGGAAAAAAAGAATTTAACTGCAGACAACCACAAATTTAACAAAGTTTTTAAAAATGGTTTAATTATTTAAGATAAATATGTTCAGTAGTAAGACTATAGGCAATAACAGACATTATAGACCCCATAGACTTTGATTTCTTCTTCTTTGGGATGTTTTTCTCTCATTTTGGAATTTGTCCTTCTTAGCTCATCTTATTTATTTCATTCCTTAGTTTCAAGGCTCATTGTGTTTTCGTTCTGTATTGTAATTTCAGTACTCCAAAAAATATTTTTGAAATCTTAACAGGCTTTAATTTAGATGCTTGACCAAACACTTCCTATTCTCAAAAAACTAAATAAAAAAACAAATGTTTTATTGTGACTTGAAAAAAGGACATCTTTGTCTTCAACACATAAATATACCATCCTATTATTTGAAGTAATGTAAAGGTGGGGAAATAATGGAAATACTTTACCTTTAGTCTTAAATAATCAAACTATGTCACTTAAGATTATAATGATTTCCCTTAAAAATAGAGTTTTATAAAGACTTCCTGCAGTGTTCCACCTCACTGAACACCTGTAGAATCAGATTTTTATCAGAGTGACCAATCCAATAACCCAACAGCATCCTAATCGTGTTGACCAACATGATGATGACCATACTATTATGATGATGGTTCTTGCAGACAAAATCAAAAAGGATTCAGAGTCCAGAAACATCTTAACTATAAAAAATAATGTGAAAACTAAAGTGTTTTTAAATAGTTTAAATCATGTCTGTAGAATCAAACTTTGACCGTCTATGAAAGGCGAACCATGGCAGATTATTCTGATCAAATGATGAGTTCAGCAATCTCTATTTGGGGCCAATTCTATAAACACACAATTTTTGAACTATTATTGATTAATCTAAAAAGATTTAAGAAACACTTAGACATACATTCAAATGTCAAAGCGCTCCCTAAGTTGGTAAAGGAGAAGCTTAATGCTTTGAAACTGTGATTAAGCATATCTAAATTTCACATAAAGATTAAATTAAGAGAAAAATCCTTATGCTAGTATCATTTTATGCTGATGAAATTCCGCTGTACTTCCTCTTGAAAGACTTTGAAATTTAAAAATGTTTTTGAATTTCTTGAGAGGCTAAAATTAACTACAGGCTGGATAAAGATAAAGCCCCTTCAATTTTAATCCTAGAAACCTGAGAAACTATACCTGTTGTTAAAAAACTTTAAATGTCTATAAACAACTGTTGAACCCTATTTCATATAATATTAGTCTTTGTGAAGTGGTTTCATTCTAAGAAGGTGAAAAATTAACCGGAAAATACTATAAATTCTGTTATTTCATCTTTTCAAGATCATAAAGCTATTTCTAAACATAAAAAATATCTTATCATATTTAAACAAATTTAGAAAAATTGACGCTCTGAACAATAGGATAATATTCACAGAAATATTTTGTGAAAAAAGTGACTTGGGTTATAAGTTAGACCAACACATAGCTACATAGGCATAATCTCACAATTTTTGTAAAACAGTTTCCCGAATGTTTTAAATAAAGGATGGATTTGAAATATAACGCGGTGTTATTGTGACGCACTAACTCACCATTTGTGCGTTGATGTCCAAAACTGGCGCGTCAGGATGAACGGCTGCCTCAATCCTGCGGGATATTTCCTTCATTAGAACTTTTAGTTTTGCTGTTTGATAACTTAGTGAGAATAAAGTTGAGTCTGTCAGAAATTCCCCCGCATTTTTTTTTCTCCTGCGAGCTCCTTCCCCTGCTTCCAGGAACTTCTTTCTTTTCTTACACTTTTGCCCTTGTATGCGCACGACGTCATTTCACGTGCACCTTAAGAGTAAATCATTAAGTTTTGTTTTTTTTCCTTCCTTTTTTTTTGCTATTGGTTTAGCGTGTGTTGACATGTTTGTGTGGCAGAGATCCACATCCATTATGATTTATTTTTATCATAAACTTTATGTATAAAACATTTATTTTTTAAGTCACCTGAAAGAACATTTCAGGTAAAATGGCTGCATGAATATAAAAAGTCCTTAGCAAAAAGTAGTGTACTTAGGGTAAATTCTATTAAGAATACTTAAGTATAAGTATAAATTTAGAAAGTATACCGAACAATGTACTTTTAGTGTACTTGAAGTATTACTAAAGTAATGCTTCTTTAAACTAAATTGGGACATTTTTAAGTTTACTAAATTACACTTAAAGTACACTTTAGTAAACAATAAAGTAAACGAATGTATAGTCAAGTACACTTGTATATGAAATATAGTTTAGAATAAGTAAACTCTACGTGCACTGCCTGATTTTAAGTATGAAATTAGTGCACTTTTAGTATACTTGAATAAACTACTTTTTGCTAAGGGATGCTGAACAGGGATTGATGTTCTGTTAGAACCAGGATCTGATATCAAAGCAATCATTATTTGCCTATGTTTTAGTTTGAGTTCAGAGAATTTTAAATTAATTTGAAAAAAAAAAGCACAAAACTATTAGGCTTGTTAATTACACATTAACTCTCTTCTAAGGTTACGGTGTAACTATTATCTTTGATTTTAGTTAAATAGAATTAAAAAAACATAAAGCTTTTTACATAATAGGGATAAGATACACCCTTTTTGGTAATGAGGCTGAATGAGGTCTAAAAGATTTGCTTAAAACTACAATTTTTTTATTGCCTTTATGAATTATGGCTCCTTTTGACATTGTCCCAGCATGTCTTCTGTTGCTCCCACTAGTTTCCCTATTTAACTGACTTCATCTTCCCATCAACTCTCACCAGCTTTCTTCTCTCTGTTAAATGTCATCACCCCAGCATGCAGCTACCGCCACGCTTCACCGCATGGATTGTCTTTTTAGTATGATACAGTAAGTGGGGTTAATTTTTTTATGCATGTCAGCCTAAAAGTTCAATTTAGGATTCCAACTGACTGCTGATGCTTTTCTTACATGTAGGCTTTGATGAAAATAGTTGAATCCTTTTTGTAAATTAAAATGAAGAGTTTACATACCAGCGTGGTAGACTTTTGTGCACATCATTATTTCAATGAATAGCTGGAGAGAAATATGGTTTATATTGAAGGCAAATTAAAAGCCCCAACCTCGGTATGAATCATATAAGAAACACCAAAATGTTGATGGTGTTTAGCAAAGAGGAAGGGGCTGAAATTCCTCTGTGCACATTGGAGGGACTAATCAGTGGTATAAAGAAACCTTTTTTTCAGTTATCCATCCACAGTCAGTGTTGTATAGTGTAAGACAGTTTTAAAATTAGAATAAATAACTTTTATTAAATCATTTCTGTGTCACAAGTCCCACTTATTCCTGATTACTGGCTGACCTTTGCAATCAAGAAGTGGGTTAAATAGAACCTTCCGGACGTCATAAAGGTGAAAAAGATATAAATAGATTAAATCAGCAAGTAAATCAGTTTTCTGAAAATAAGGAAAATGCTATCTAGATTTAGTCATTGTCAGTACAGCAGATATGCCACATTATAACCATGAAATGAACACCTTCTTTAATTACCTTTCAGATTACGATGAGCTGATTGGATTTTCATGTAACACTTGACATTTTCCTCCACTATGTTGCTATCAAATCATATAATTTTCTTCTGATAAATTTGTCTCCTTTTTATGAGTTAGCTCTCATCTTTCTCACTCTCCTCTGCTTTCTTAAACACTGCACATGGTCCATTGTTAGTATCCTTTCAGCTCGTCGGTGAAGTGTTTGTCTGTGGCTTGTGTTTGAGAACGGCATGGAAACCAGCATGTTTACAGATGGAGGGAAGGTATTGAAGAAAAGAATCTGGTTCACACACTGTAATAATGATCAACCTCAGGTTTGTCAGACAATAGAAATGAACACAAAGACAGGAACCAGGCACCGCAGAGGATTATTGAATATAATGATGTGCTGCAGAATAGATGATGTACAGTCTCCTGGCAGTGCATAAAGAATTCATAAAACAAAGAACTAATTTTATAAGGATATATGCCTATCCGCTAATTCCTTGTATATACTATAAACTTCTATAAACTACGAAGCTAAAGCTCCGTAACTGTAATTGTAATTTAATTGTTAATGAACGATGAGTTTACGCCGAAGGGAACTGTGGTTATCTATCTCTTTAATCAATCTATTTTATTTTTAGATTAATATTTTCATTCATCATAACATCATTTTATTCTGTGTGTAAACTGACATATATGTAGAAAAATACCTGCTCCATGCATCTTTTCCTTTATAATTGTACTAGTTTAGGTAGAAATTGAACCATCAGCTGATACTAGCTTTTAAGTTCTATTGAGAAAGATATGGGCAAATTATGATACTGCCACCACCATGGAGTTAAGCGTTAGTTTTCCAACATACTGTTTTGCATGTGATTATTACTGAGGGCCCTACTTTTATGTTTGCTCCTCTGCTTTCCGTTTGACTTTCTTTCAATAATCTTGACCATATTGATGTAGTGCTTAACTGAATGTTTTGTAAACAGATTTACCCCCTTGAACAGTGGATCTGCAGTTCCTTCATAGTTACCACTGACCTTGTGGCTGCTTCAGTATGTGCCTTGGTCCGTTTGTGGGTACGATTTGTGTTAATTTCATACAACTTCCCAATTATGCATAACATTATTTTAGTCTATTGCAAAGAAAAAATCCCCAAAATTAAAATTAAATATTATCATGTAAAAAATATCAAATGACTGACCTTTATATATATATATATATATATATATATATATATATATATATATATATATATATATATATATATATCTCTTTCAACGCAGTTCCCAGTTCTTCCAGCAGGGGCTACTATTAGCAAACTAATGGGTTTGTTGGCAGCACTGTAGTCATTTCTTTTAACAAATTGGCACCACGTATTTGTCGATACAGTGAAGGAATAATAAGAAAAGACATGATCTACAGGTCAAAGAACAAAGCCTGTGAAGATGATAGATATAAAACTGCTACTGAGGCCTTATGTTATCAGAAAAATATTTTTCTTGTTGAAGGATCTTTCCATCAGGCATTCATTTGTTGCCTTTTTTATTTATTTATTTTTTTCCTTTTCTCAACATGAGTCAGAGTCTAACAGGATTACAAAGTGTCTGAGCTGGAGAGAGAACAACAATAGTTTCTGCACTGAGTCAGAAGGGTGGTCAGGGTGGTCAACATGTTAATCAGAGTTACAAAATCGCAACACTTAGGTTTAAAAGTGAAGAATTTGAAAAATATGGAAAAGGTAAAAGCAACAGGATCAAGCTTGAATAGAAAAAAGGAACTGATAAAGGACAAGACAAGATTTAAGCGGGGACCATTAGTGAATAGCTCCATTTGTAGCAGAATTAATGCTGTAATAGACTCTCTCCCACTTACAGAATCCATTTTCTCCCTCTTGATGACAGCACCCAGCACTCCTGGAAGTACCAAAGTACTCATTCTGGTGTCAGGAAGAGAAATCGTAGGTGATTTCTCTTTAAGTTATATTACAATGGTCTCTTAAGTTAATGCACACCGCCATGGACCTGTGATTAATTAATCTACTTTTGATTTGCTAATGACGGTTCAAGTTAAACACAAGGTTAGTGAAGGCTGAGTCAATCCTTTTAACAGTAGAAGCACAGAGTACACTGGCGAGTGTTGGAGATATCAATTTATTGGTATCATCCCTCATCATAATGGCTGCTATTAGCCTGCAGCACCTCTTATACTTACTCTCAGGATATTAATATGCGCATAGGGTGTTAGATTATATATATAGCAATGTATTAAATGTCTCTTCCAAACAGTGCAATCAATCATCTTGTTTTGACTTTGTGGTTTAAAACCGAGGTTTTGTGAGATACCAGACTAGACAAGCTATAAAATGTCCTTTTTTTTTTTTTTTTTTTTTTTTTTTTTACAATCGCTGCAGTTTGTGTGAGGGGGAATGGAAAAGAGATGAGATTTTCAATTTCTTTTTACAACCAAACTCTGAAAAACATCTATATTCATTTACATTTTTTACATTGGCGTCTCCACCAGCTTCCCAAGGAAAAGCGGTGAATATATCCAATTAGGAAAAAATCTCCAGCACAGTTTAATTTGATGGATAGCATATGAAAATTACCTTTAATTTTTATTTCCTGCCACAGATATTTCTTTTGCTTCAGGTCTGGACTTTTTAATTCTCTCTTTCTAAATCAATCAATCTGAACTATACCAAAGTAGCGCTAAATGTTGATCTTCATTGTCCTGCTTAAATTTGAAACTCAAGCCCAGACTTAAGTCTTTTAAAGCTAATAACAGGTTCTCTATGAGAACGTTGTGTTTAAAGCTTCAGTCTTTTGTAACTGACCAGCTTCTCATTCTCTACTGAAAGGCGTTTTCATACCAGGATACTCAGACATTGCAGTATCCTGGTGCAGTCTTCAGGTTTTCTTGCAATCTGAATGCTTTTGGTTTAAGTCCAGCTTCCTTTAGTCACATGTCAATGTTTCCTTGAGTGGGCCTAACTCTTGCCTTATGCTGCCTAACTGATCTTCTTATCAGAGTTGGAATGTCTGTGACTGTGTAAGTATGACTGGGGGATTCTGACTCCAGTGTAAATAAAATTTTGGGGTTAGAAATTACAAGAAAAGCATTTAATACATTCATTGAATGCACACATTTTAACTAATTGCTTCCAGTTGTTTCAGTGTCCCTTTTATGAGCTTATGGCAAACTGCAGACAGGAATTATTCCTTCCAGTTAAAGGCTTCCTTTAACTGTTGTTTACTTCCTAACACTG